CGCGGATCCTCGAGCGGCGGAATGGAAGCGCGAGCGCGATTTGCCCCGTTCGTCGAAACTCGCGAGACGAGCAGCGTTTGTTCTCACGTTCTCTTCCGGGTTTAACATGCACGCAACATGCCGGCTCCGCACCGGAGAAGCACCGCGAGAGCACAGATTCATCATGGTGAAAAAAAAAAAAGTTGGAGCAGCGATGCAATCCGTAACACCTTTTCGCCCGTTCGACGCTAAGCAGGGCAGCCAGGCGGCTGAACAACCGTGAGGACGAGAACAGTAGGATAAAGAGATAGGAAGGAAGCGAGAGGAGGATGTGTGCGGTACACGTAGAGAATATTCAGTCATAGTGTTCCGTCCGACTGTTCTTACTTTGCGGCTGATCGTCCAGGCTCTCCCGGTCGGACATTGCGCTTCTCGTGACACGTTCCTCTTTTGGTTAGATTTCGCGTCGTCGTTCCCCCTGACGTCTTCCCAACCGATGGATTCCCACGCGAGATCAGCGAATGAGAAAGAGAAAAGAGACAAAATGTGTAACACGACGGGGGAAAAAAAATGGGAAATCCCTCCGATTTACACACAGCCCCGCGTAGGCGCGCGCGAGACTCCTTGAGATATGACGGCGATGACGATAATCTCTCTCTCTCCCTTTTCAGACCGCCGACGAGCTAAGCCCCCCACACACAAAAACCGAACTATCTTCTCTCTTTCACACCGTAGCCAGCACAGTGCACCGCAAATTTTGCACTTCCTCTTCGGTTTTCTCCTCCGTTCTTCCACACAATCACGGCCCCGACCGCCAAACCCGACCGACCGACCGAACGACCGACCGAACGAACGAACGACCGACCGACCGACCGTCCGTCCGTCCGTCCGTCTACGGCACCAGTCGCCAACCACCACCACCACCACCGCACACGCTCGCCTAGCTCGTTCGCTCGCTCGCTCGCTCGCTCTACGCCGACACACACTGCCGCTCTTCCGCAAGTTCGCGCTGCTTTCCGGCTTGTCCTTGCTCGTCGGCCTCGTCGCTCGTCTTTCGCTCTCGCTCTTCCACCTTCTATTCAATCCCCTCTCCCTGTTCATACGCGATCAGTGAGAGTGAGAAAAGCGAGCGCGCGCGAGAGAGAGAGAGAGAAAGAACTAAAAAAGATCATATGCACGCGTATAAATCGTAAATTGTATTAAACCGTCTACATAAGCATGTATATGTGTATATACATATCCGTTGTACATACATGTAATACATACACATATTCAACCCTGTAAATTTACAGAAAAGCGTACATATACAATATTGAAATTGTGTGAAATATTTTTTTTTCCATATATATTAACGTTTCTCTTTTTACACCTGTGAATTTGTCATAATATAAGCTCTCAAGATCTTTGGTGACAATCCAATATTTTCGATATTATTTCTCATAATATCGAATCGAGTTCTGGCGTCTTCGAATGACAATGTAGCTATATATTACTCCACAAATTTCTATATACTAATTAGACTCCACCGATTTTGCATATGATAGAAAGAGACCGAAATAAACCCGACCGACATTGCTACGTGTATTGTATATGTTCTACTGTGAATGTACCACGTGATTGAAGTGTATCATGTGAATATGTATACGTGAGAAGCACTAATCAACCACCTTATGTCCATTCTATCAATGTATTTTAATTTTAATCTCTCGTTAGCTTTTCTAATTCATAAAACTAGATAAAAATAAAAAGTAAATTAAACCAAGATTAACTAACTAAAGTTAAACTAAAGCTAATCTAAGGGGCTGTCCACAATACGTCGTATGTCAGATCGTAAGCCGTAAATCGTAAGAATTGACCAATCACAGTTGAATGTAAGAAAAATATTCGACTACGATTGGTCAATTCTTAGTTAGTATGATATAAGTAGTGACTAACGGCTTATTGTAGAAAGCCCCTAAGGGCGAATTCACACCTTGACAGAAAAGCGGAAAACAGAAAAGCAGAAGCCAATCAGAACTCGCACTGGTAGCAAGAAAAGCAGAAAACAAAAACTATTGACTGCCAACACGAGTTCTGATTGGTTTCTGCCTTTCTGTTTTCCGCTTTTCTGTCAAGGTGTGAATTCACCCTAAGTCTTAAGAGAATCAACCAATCAGAGTATGAAATGAAGGACTCTAATTGGTTGATTTTCTTATGCCTTATGTCTTATGCGTTAGGGGCTGTCTACAATATGGCGTATGTCAGATCGTAAGCCTTAAATCGTAAGAATTGACCAATCACAGTTGAATGTAAGAAAAATATTCGACTACGATTGGTCAATTTATAGTTAGTATGATATGAGTAGTGACTAACGGCTTATTGTAGAAAGCATCTTATGCAAAAGTCTGTGCTCCCGGCTTTAGGCCGGCTGTGCATAAGGCGGCTAAACTAGACCAATGAGAATCTTAAGTAAATCAATATGGCGCATCAGTATGTATATAGAATATTTATGCAGTATGGTGTATCAGTATATATAATATTTATGCTGCTCATTAAAGCCGGTTCTACATTAGTTGCAAGCCGATCGCAAGCTTGTTGCGACAGCCAATCCGAAGCATTGATTTCAAAATGCAAGCTTCAGATTGGCTGTCGCAACAAGCTTGCGATCGGCTTGCAACTA